TTGAGTTAAGAGAACTGATGCGGATGTTCTTTTACTTGTTATTCAAGCAATGTATGTCTCGTCACCAACTCAACGAGTGTTGCCAACAGGGACGCTGTAGAGTGCCCTCTGGTGGACAAACTATACAACTCCAACACTCATGACATGGTTCAAGCGTGTTTCGTCCGTTTTTATTTTATTTTTGAAATATTCATTTATCGGCCATTATAACTGCCGCTACCGATAATTTGGAAAATGCCTAATATCGGCCGATAATATCGGCCTGCCGATATATCGGTCTGGCTCTATTCCAAACACATACTAGACTGGACAAAGAACAACAGACAAGCAGGAATGACCAGACAAGGACAGACAGCTGTGATAATGATGATCACTGGCAGGTGTGGATAATGATGTGAGTGCAGGTGTGAGCCAGAGAGGATGATGGGACATGTAGTGTAGGTAGTGATACACGGAACTGTGACAAGCAGCAGGTCTCATGAGCCAAAATCAAGCATACTGTATTGTATTGTATATATACACATTCATTGCACCATTCCAATAAATACTGGTTAAATAATTCCGAGAGAGTAACTGTATCATGATTGAAAAGATGTTATTGTTAAGGAATTTTGCATTTTTTGTCAGTGGGAGGAAAACACAAACATTTTCATTTTGGGGGGGATATTTTGTTTTAAAAAATGATTAATTTCAATGATTTGCACTGAAATAAACTATCAAACAAATTATGAATTTTAATTTTTTGCAATCAGCTGAGAAGGTTGAAATGTGGAACAGGCCAAAAATCACCATTTTCTCCAAACAACCTTTGGACACTGGCTGGCAGGGCCTGAAATTAACACCCGACCACCTGCCAAATGCGGGTGAATTTTCCTATTGGCGGGTAACACTGTCAATCTACCTGCCACATTGGCAGGTAGCTAATGAGAATTGAGTGATTCATTAGGATTTTTACATTTCAACTAAGTCCGCCATTGCGTTTGACATTAGCTGAAATGTGGCGGCACATTACTGGGGTAAAGAGGCCAGCTGAAACAAAACAGCCAACAAAAAGATGAGGATGAGAAAAAGAAAAGTAAAAGAAGACATTTCAATACAAAGTGGACAATTGGCGGCAATGGCAAGGTTCGTGAGCGGCTGATTTATGACCGCGACTGTTGTTTCGGAACGTTCATGCGATCAGAAGAAGACGATCGAGGCCCTTTTCCGACTACGTTTGGATGTGCGAGTATTAAACTGTTGGTGAGATGGGATGAGATAATGTAACGCTGACGTAGCCTACGTACAATGACAGTTGCACAGATGTGTGTGCATGTGCAACTGTGCATGTTGGGAGTTGGGAACTAGTGAGAAAATGTCCGGTACCTTTACCAGTAATAACAATATTAATTTAGTGCATAGTTAACGGTTCCTGAACGCTGTAACTAAAAGCTGTCAGGATCTGTCTACGTGACTAAATCAGCCATCAACCCAGCCGCGTGTGATTTGTTTACATACGAGCTGCGGTAGGTCTATCTGTTGAGTATATACTACTGTATATGTTGTGTGAGTGACAAAATCAATGAATAAAAAGATTTTAAAAAAATGTATGTTCTTAGAGATATTATTATTACTTGACAGCACTTAAATGTGTATTCTTACAAGTGAAAGAACAATGTTGTGAAATTCCCGTTTTTTTTCACCTTTATATAAACGTGAAAAAAAAAAAAAAAAAAAAAAAACAGGAATTTCACAATATTGTTCTTTTTTACCATTTTTTGGCTGAGGCAAAATATGAGGCAAAAAAAAAAAGTGGCTGGTAAAAAGTCTCTGTGGCAGGTGAATTTTTAAATCCACCTGCCACAGTGGCCGGTGGCCGAAAAAGTTAATTTCAGGCCCTGCTGGCTGGTATAGAGAAAGTGCACTAGTTTGTAACACTGGATTTACAGACTTATCAGCAAGCCATGTAAGGAGTACAGTGGGATCAAATGACTGCTATTACCATAGCTCTGAGCATGGGGCTGTGAATGAGAAATGTGCCACTAATCCCAGTAACAAGCTAAAGTATTAAAGTGACTGAAAATGGAGGAATCCCCTTTTGGATTTGTGATGTACACTTGGGTGTCATTAAACCACAGTAAAATTAACCCTTTTGGTGCATGAAATGATTTTAATCATTCACATTTTTTTTGCTGTTCAAATTCTGAAATTCTTCCATTTAGCATTTTTCTAAATTACTTTTTTATCCATCACAAATGGTAATCAATATAATTCAGGTGGGATTGGAAAAAATTGACATTTTGCTTTACTGACAGCAGCACTCAAGCTACTGTACATGAACTCCACAAGTCTGTGTAAAACTTGAAGATCAGGTTGTTCAGCATGATTTAAAGAGCATCTTGAGTAGAAGCAAGAACGTACAGTGTCTGTAAATGTCTCAGATGTTCTTATGTTTTAGTGGCCTATAGAAATAGAGCAGATTCTGAAATATTTTAACTAATTTTATATAATAGCCTAACCTTTTTGTTAGTTTGTTTGTTTTAAATGTTTAAAAATCGTACTAAAGCCCACTTTGACACACATGTCCTCTACAGTGGACTACGACGCCATGACTGAAAGGGCTGAAAGAAAGGTGAGTGTTTAAAACCACTTAACTGTCACTGTCCCACAGGTGGGACGTTTGCCACTATATTTTTAAAACAATAATATCTTAGTAAATACCTTAAATAATATTGACAAACTATATATCATTTGAAAGCTTACAATCTCTAGTTTCCATATTTGGTGACTGATTTTCAAAATATATTACAGAGGAGCCATAATTTATCAATATAAAACAAGAATATTTTCATACTCATAAGGCGTGTTCAGACCTTTATTTTAAAATAGCAGTAAACATGAAAAATCATGAAAAAATGGTAGATACCTCAGTTTGTTTTCATGCCAAAAGTTCAAAAGATAGAATCAATTCAATTATTTTGGAAAAAAAAGGTCTGAAAAGTTTGAAATATCAAGAAAAAAATAATAAATTTACCATTTGTGACGTGGCAGCTAGCTATGACTTGCATGCGTGTTCTTTGTATGTGTTTCTTAGAGGTTCAATTCATGTCAAAATCTGCCAAACTTCCCATGCTACTTCTGAATAGGATATCTACTTCAGAAATTGTATGAAAATTGTGAAAATAATGGTTCATATCTCTCAAAACACGAATGGAAATGCAGGCGCCCTTATATGGGCAGTAATGGAGTCTGATTGTGCCCTAGTGAAAAAGTTTGGTACTGCGCTCAAACAAAATCTTACTGAAAGCTCATTTTTTCAGATATCAACCTAAAATTTGAAACACAACTTGTTCAGATTTTTGGCTTTGATCTTTCTGACATTTTAGAGTAGCCCAGGTTTTGAAAATATATATTTTATGTAAAATATGAATAATTAATATTGTTACATTGTACATTTCCATAAACTCAAACTTCTATAACTTTTTTTCTGTTTCACTTTCTTAATTTATTTCACTTCTACAAAAATCTGCCAAATGTCTTCTTTAAAACAAGACCAATCATATGTCTATATTCCAAAGCATTCTTGAATTACAACCATTTAAGTTCGAAATGTGCATTTTCATGTCTATTCAAAAAAGGGGGGGTGACAGTTAACAGGTTAATACACTTTACATATAAAAAATCATTACTGAGATTAGGTGTGCTGAAAAAAATAAGTGAAATTTAGTTAGTTTAAAAATCCTTTAAACTATCTTTCCTTTGTTCACACATTTATAGAATTTATACTCAAAGGCTTACTTCAAAGGGGCCATCATCAGTCATCATGACTTGCAGAAGTGAACAAAAACTGAAGGAGGAGCAAAAAAATAAGAAAAAGAGAGTAAAGATGCTTTGGAGCGTGACAAAAAGCATTCATCCTCTGTTCAAATAGAGGCCTAAGACTTGTGCAGCAGAGCTGGGGAAGGCGGTGGATGAAAATGGTGTACTAAATTAGATGGAAGGATGTAATATACCTCACTCGTTTCAGACCTACAGTATGGATGAAGTCTCAAAAGGTAAATCTGTATAAAAAAACAACAGCATCTAATCTTCCTGCCCGGAAAAAATAATAAAAGAATGATGAAAACATTACTCAAAATGACTAAAAGGAGAATTTTCCATACTGGTATGTGTATAAACGACAAAAAGTTCATATCTGAAGAAAATGAGATTCTGAATCACAGTGAAGATAGCAAGTGTCATCCTATCATACAGGGTGGTCCAAGTGGAAATCTCTCTCTCTCACACACAATGTACTGTGGCACAATATCATTTGCAAGCATGCCATCATTCAAAGGCACATCCTCATGCTTTTCTGGCAGGTTAGGCTAAAAGTTCTCGAAATGATTGCTTGTCACGTCTAAAAAACAGCTTCCAATAAATGCTATTTAACTACTGGCAAACAGGTTTTACAGTAAGTGTATATGCACCATTAAAAATAATAAGTTTAACGGAAGATACACCTTATTCATAAGAGAAAAAAATCAGCAACCAACCGCAAACACATACTGGACCTCCTGAGGCGTGGGAGAGAGAAAACCTCATCCACGAAGGACAATCAAACATTCCTCAAATTGTTTTTACACCTACAAATACTGTTATTGCATTCAGGAAGTATTGTGACATGGCTTTTAACATACAATATTTTAGGCTGTAGAAAGAGCTGGAACTAAACATCCGACTTTTGCATGACAGAACCAACTATATAAAATAGCTCAAACAAACCATATAAATCTCAAATCTCACAAGCTCCATATCGTCTCCAGGGGACCGAAAAAAGTGAAATTAATTATCGTCCTCCAGTTTGTGGCACAGACACAGATGAAGTGTAATTGAAACCAAGCTCACTCAGTCACTTAGCACTAGTACAGTAAGTAACCGTCAGCCAGCCGAATTTCAACGAAGCACATTGCAATGCACAAACAAACCTTCCTGCTTTAAACCTTGATGTGAAAACGGAGCTGGACGGAGGGCACACTCACCCCAAGAGGACCATTTGCGGAGTAGAGGAAGACAGTGAAGGCGTCAGTCTCCCGTGGCACTGGGGCATATCCGCTTCTTTAGGAGCCATGCGAGGCGGACGAGTTGATCCACATTGGCTGAAGTGCAGCAGTGAGAGGGTTTACCCAACGCCGGAGCTGCAGCGAGCGGAGACGCTCGCGCGCACACACGCGCGTGCTCACACACATGAAAGGAGAGTAGCCTAGCCTATGTGAGATCGAAGATGCGCGCTACGTTTTGCGTCAAATTGAAATCCCACCTCAAGGAGGCTTAAGAGATGCGTCCCTCTTGATTTCTCACATCACTGAGAGAGGCACATGTGTGCGTGCACTGCGCACACACAAGAACACAGACAGTTGGCACGCGCGCACACGCAGACGATGTCCCTCGTCCGCTGCTGCAGACTTCGTGTGTTTGATAAGAAAAGAGAGAGAAAAATAAAAGAGAAATGATGATGTGAGGTGAGGGAAGTCCTGTTTCAGTTATGTTTAGTTGGTTATCTCGCATAAAACAGCCGTATCTTTCATCCGAGTTTACTAACAGCTTATGAAATCAGAGTGTGTTAAGGGCTTTTCGAAAGCTGAGAAGTAATAATACTGACGCATATTAATTGGCTGGCCCGTGTATTATCACACTGATTACACCTCGTTACAAGATGACATGATTTAAATGAGAAAGAGATTGAGATTGGAAGATTAGTCTACAATGTGGGTGGAAAAAAATCAGATGTAAGGAAGCGTAATTGGATTGTTAATTAACGCGAGTCATCTCTGTGTATTATTATTACCAGAATTCCTCTGGGGATCAATCAACCTTGTTGTTGCTACTTCTAACACGACTGTGTCGTCGATCATCATACATCCTCAGTAGTAGGCCTATGCCACGCTGTAAAAATCATTCCCAGATCACGTAAACCACGTTGGAAAAAAACAACAAAATATTTACTTGATTATGTTTTGTTTACTTACTATGGAGCTCTAGCAAAGTACAACTTGGAATTGAATAGCCTACAACAAAAAGCTTTTCTATTAGGATAATTCTGCTTTTTAAGTCAAATCAAGAAGCAGTAGACCTATATGATTTGGATGAATGCATTTTTGTTTGTTCTACCCTGAAGAATTGCTTAGTCCCATCCACTCTAGTTTACAGCATGCACTGGGACATGAATAATTAATATGGTTGTATGTTTGACCAAGGACTTACAATGCGGTTTGTGTGTTTTTTCTTGCCATGTTTAGTATCAGATTTGTTTGCTCTTCTACTCTGAATAGTTTGTTTATTATTTCATGATTGTTTTTGTTTTTTTTAGTTTATTCAACACATGTCAGTACACTGTAAGAAAATGATATGATCAATAAACCCCAGCAAGCATTAGCCACCATTTCACCATCTATAGACCCAATAGTTCGGCTATGAGAGTCCCACTTCTAGCCGAAATAACCTTGAATTTGGTTACATGACGTTTTAGCCAAAATAACTTGTGAGATGTATGATATTCCATCATGTGTAAGCAAAGTCAACAGTGATTACAGTGAAGGTGTTCATTTCTTTGACATGTTATCTGATTGGTGACTGGTCTATCTTGATCTGTTTAGATATCTATAACATTTTGACCAGGGTTAGTTCAGGTAGTTATAAAGCATTTACTAGTGGTTGTGAGCAGCTATCGTGTTTCTCTGGAGCTAATTACCCTCCCCCCTCCCCAGCTCCTCTTCTCGCACAGACAGCAGCATTTGGCATTCTGATTGCCCTTGAATCACAAATTCTCAAATTATGTTGTAATTTAAAATCTTGAATTATTGATAAATGCAATACATGTAATACAAGATGCATGAATGTACATTTGAATAGTAATGTACATTTTCTTATGGATCACTGACAACTCTGGATAACTGGTTTAAATAATGCAATACATCAGTTGCAATACTTCCCACCCTGGAACTGTATCTTAGTCTTTGCCACTGAGATGCACATGAAATACAAGCTACAGGAGTATAACACTTCATAAACCTGCTTCAGAACATTTCACTGGGGCATTAATCTAGTGTCATATCTCTTTTACTGTACCACCACTGGAATGCAGCACAGATACTCTAACTGCTAATGATGATAATAAATTAACTCATGATCAGGGATGTGACCTTGATGGTCACTGTTCTCAAAGACAAACTGAATTGCTGCTGATGTATTTTCAATATTTTTCAACATATTAGAATGATTTCTGAAGGATGGGACTCTGAAGCCAAATGATGCTAAAAATGCAGCTTTGATCACAGGGATAGATTACATTTTAAAATATATTCAAATAGAAAACATATATTTTGAATTGTAATAATATTTCACAATATTGTTGTTTTGTTTTCTTTCATATTATTGGTTAAATAAATGCCTTGGTAAGCATAAGCTTCCTTCAAAAACATTTGAACTGTAGTGTTTTATGGCAACAAGTAGAACATAATTATATAAGTTTGTGAACACCGTGTTTTGTTTCATTGGAAAAAAAGAAACTGCATTTGCCGTTTCATTTGCACTGACAGTTTTTGTAAAACCTGTTCAGATTTTCATCCAAAAATGCTTGATTGTTTTACAAATTCAGCTTATTTTGCAAAGAGCTAAAAGTGTTCCTGCATCAATAAATGTCCTCATATCATATTCATAAACTTCTGGGGGAAAAAAATCAATATTCTACATACATAGTCTACAATTAAAACAGCAAAAAAAAGTCTGTTCTCATTAGAGGGTGAGATGGGGAGTTCATACACAGTGTAAAGTGTTCGTCTCTGCAGGTGTCTGTGAAATGGAACTTCTCTCCCTTGTGCCTCAGGCCATCGGCTGTCATTAAGCAAAAAGTAAAATAAAAGTCTTTTCTCCGCCAATTACTGAAGGAGAACATTTTTCATAATTCAGCAGGATATAGACTCCATCTGCTTGCACGTCTTAAAAACACTAAAAAGATTTATAAAACATACTTTTAGGGAGAATCTATTCACCAGAATGTAAGGATAGGAAGTATTTTTGGGATGACATTTCCCAGAATGCACTAATAGTCAGTGAGCAAATTATACAGTGACTTTCAGCGAGGTCAAATCTTTTAAATGGAATTTCTGGCGTGTTCAGGACGTGCTGTCTTGTGCAATTCAAATTGTCTTTTGGTGCCGCCAGCATATACACATCAGCTCTTTTACAATAAAATCAGAATATGCCCAATGGCGTACGGGACACCCCTGAGGTGTGGGGGGTTGTAGATACTATGCAAGGCCATCCTCATAGCATTATGAGCCAGATATATCATGGTTCAATTCGCCTGTCAGGACTGATATTTCTCTGCATAGAAGACAAAATCGAATTTAAAGGTGTCAACAACAGACATTAGAACAACATAAGGGAATCATTTTCTCTGCAGGTTGTTTTAACACTGATCTGAACATGCCCTTAGGTGTGAGTCTGGATATGAAGGAAAGAAACAGTGAGAGAGACAGCTGAGATGTTTGCTGAGAGGCAAACCACTAAGCTCTTGCCTATACTGAGCAGGACAATCAGAGGAGTGAAAGGAGAGAGGAGAAAATCCTTTCTGTGCTCCCCATCTTGAGGCTGTGAGCACATCCTCCTGCTTTCTTCTCATTTTCACTGCTTGGTTCCCATTAACTCAGCTCTCACTGAAGGCCGCTGGGCTTCCTCATATTGTCACAGGAACAGATCACCTGCTGCTCATTAATTTTATAATGTTCATGCATATTTCCTCAAGACTCCCAAGGCATAGGCCTATATATTCTGATATTCTGTGCATATAGTAACAAAATAACCTCCAAGGATTTTCTCACCATCCTTTAGGTCACTTAATTTCCAGCCTTGTATAGTTCAAAGATGTAAAATGAATTAGCATTACAATTAAAATCACATCCATGCAATATTTTTTTATTTTAACGGTTAGAAGTCTAAGTTTTTGCAGAACTACGCCCCCTATGGTGACAAGCAAAACTGCAACCAGAGGTGTGCACGCTCATGGATCACACATATGCATGCTTGCACGAGGCACGAGCAGTTCATAACCAAAGGAGCATCAGCCGCACACATCTTTTGTTACGGTCATAATGAGGTGATAAAGTTATAAATCTGCAAGTCATTTAAAATATATGAAAGGAAAGGCATTTGAGTAAATTACACACTACCAAAAATATTGATAAAAAAAAAAATCATCATTAGTGCCCAGATTATGCAATAGTCACGTTTTAACAAAAATAAACACTGCCCTCTAGATAGCAACTACTAAAGTAAACTTTAAGTTGCATTTCTTGTGTAAATATGTTATTTAACAAAGTGTAGAATTATTATAAAATTATCAACTCATATGTTCGTGAATCAGAATAGCACACACTGGTCGTCCAAGAATCGATCTACAATAATATTTTTTTTCTTGAAGTGGATTACACACATTACTCATATTGTATGGTTTTTGATTCACTAGCAAAAATGCTTTTTTGTTTGTGAATCGTATTTTGCTGGTTGCGCTGTATCTTATTGTGCAATCGCTCAATAAAAAGCTGTGCTACCTGGTCATTATTTTTGTGATTATCTCATTCAATGCAAACAGGTTAAAATACGACTTTATCTGTGGTGTGAAAGATTATCGGCATTAGAATTGTTAATAAGTCGAAAAAGTTAAATTTACATTTGAATTTGGTATTTTATATTCTTTTTTGCATTTTTTAACATTTAAAAAAATATTCATTGATCTGTATAAATCGATATTTAAAGAGTTGATTGTCCGACAATTGATTAGTGGCTTGTAATTAGTGCAGAATCTTAATTATTTAGTATTCATTTCTTTACACTTACATCTTCATTCGACTATTTCAATCCTAATACTTGCCTATAGTTTAAATAATATCCCATATTTTCAGTGTGGTTTCAGACTAGGCCCTCTCCTTATTTATGCAAATACACTGTTGGGCTGCAACATATAATGCAAATAAGAGATTCTCCAGAGCACACTGACTGGATGAATCAACCTTGGGTGAAGGGATGTTGCACAAATGATTTAGTAATTCTACATTTTGAGGAAGAATGAGCAAAGGTTGCTATAATAGAGTAGGATAAGGTGTATACTGCATTCGTCTCATGAGTGCTATGGAGGGGAGTGGGCAGATGTTGCGGCTGCCGAGGGATTGAGGACGCTGGATGTTCTTCAGGCTTTGTGAAGCATGGAGATTGACTGTGATTAACAGCATCACTGGTGGTTGTTTAAACCTTTTCTCTGGCTTCATGGTGTCAGCACAACTCCCTTGGCAGCATGTGTGCCGGTGTCTCTATGTGCATGTGTGTATAAAAACAAAGCAGGTGGACTATTTACATATACTGAAGCGTTGCTGCCCCCTACCTTCGGTAACCTCTGTATAGTCTGTCTAACACACACACACACACAGAGATTTTTAACAGTGATAACAGAGACTGCATGCCTAGTTAAACACAGATGGTAACTGCACAATTGACCACATTTTAATCATTAACCTCCCCTTGTTATCACCAGAATGCTGCATTATTCCTTCGAGGCATTCAGGAAAGAATCCATAAAGGGCAGACCCATGCACTGT